GGGGCGAGGTGCCCGGGGGCGGGGCGTGCCGCAGGGGTGGGGCCAGCAGGCAGACGGAGATGGGTGAGGCTGGGCAGGGGCAGGAGCGGGCGTGGCATTTGGCCAAGAGGTGGGGCTGGGAGCTGTATGGGGCGGGGCGCTAGGCTAGGGGCGGGGTTCGGGGCGGGGCCCTGCTCCCGGGAAAGAGGCTGCAGAGCGCGGGTCCTTCAGCCCTGGGCGCCCAGCGTCAGGCTGCGGACCTCGGCTCCTCTTTTCTCACCCCAAAAGCAGCAACTCTTTGCACTTGCTCCCCAGACTCCAGGGCTGCGAACCCGACCTGGCTCCGGCCTCTCCACACAGGGGAGCCTTGGCCAGGACCCCGAGGGGCGGCGTCCATCCCTGTCCTGGGTCCGTCTGTAGGTCCATCCCTGGGCGCCCCGCCCTGGGTCTCCCTGGCCTGGGTCCATCCTTGGGTCTCACCCTGAGCCCCCCCCAGGCACCCATGTGCCCATGTGACCACTGCCGTGGCGCCCCCTCTCCCCGGCACACTCTGATGGGATGCAGCTCCGCGCTCTGGAGCCTTATCCCTGTCCGTGTGGTTTCCTGAGATGTGGACACTAGGCTGAGAGCCTCCACTGGTTGCCATTCAAAGCAGCCAGGCCTGGGTTAGGGTGAGGAGGGGGGCCTCCCACAGCCTCAGAACGCTGGGCAGTGAGCACAATGGGTGTGAGGAGCGCCTGTCTCTCCCACCTCCTCCACACCGCAAAGGCAGCATCCCTAGGAGCTCCCTCCGTGGCCAGGTGCGAGTGGTCTCGGCCCTTGGCACACTGACTTGGGTGGAGGGGATGTTCTGGAGCCAGCGCTGGGTCCACCAGGAGCTGGACAGCTGTGCGTGGAAATAGACCTTCACCGTGGGGACTGCTGTGCATTTCCAGCCTTCCCCACAACCACGGTGCTGCAGGCAGCTGAGGGACCCCGGCCTCGGCTGCCCAGGGGCGCAGAGGCTGGCTCTGAACACTCGACGTGGCCGGCCCAGCCAACCACCCTCTGCTTTTGAAGACAGCATCCCTTCTCCAGCCCTGCAACCTGCTTGTGCCCTGGCATCCTGGGGACTTCCTCGGTAGCCTTGCCTGGGCTGGCCACGGGGAGCTGATGGGTGACCTTTGTCGGGCTTTGGCCTCATGCTTGGTTGCTCTCTTCTTTCTCCTCGAGCCCCAGAGGAACGGAGAGACCTGGCATCACTGCTCCCAGCTCCTGTGCCTTGGCCTGTGCCCACTTCTGCCAGTGCCAAGGCCCAGCTGGGTCTTCCCGCCTGGCACAGGCACTCCTGGCCAGGGTGTCCTCGAGGCCCCCTTGTGAGGAGTCTCCGGATCCCACCTCTGCCCCTCTCACAGCCTTGTGGAGCAGCCAGACAGCATAGGCCCTGGTCCTGCTTGCTTGTGCCTGAGTGTGGGAGGCACCCTGCCTTTCACGGTTAGTGCCCACATGAGGGCCCTGTGGGCATGTGGGTCAGAGAACCATCCTCCAGGAAGAGTGGAGGGAGAGGCAGAGATGTCCACTAGGGATGAGGGTACAGCTCTGCCTTCCCCCTCCAGGGTCCAGCTTAGAGCCCCTGGGACCAAGGGATGGCAGGCCACACTTGATCAGCCTCCCTCCTGTCGCCTCCCCAAACCAAGGACCCCAGTGCCTGGCACCTTTCCTCAGCAGTTTCTACAGGGTTGTCCGGGTTAGTGCTGCTCTCACCCTGGAGCGCTCAGCCAGCCCAGCCTCCTGCAGGCCCCCAGGGTCTCAGGCCTGGGCAGGGAAGCAGGCGTCTCCGTGTAGGCTCAGATGAGTGCAGGTCACCTGTGGGCCCTGGACTGTCCTTCGGAAGGTCCAGGCAAGGCCCTGATGGCAGGCAAGACCTGGGCAGAGTGAATGGACCTTAGTTGGAGGGACCATGGCCACAGCAGCTAGGTCTGGTGGTCTGCCCTCAATCCAGCCACGGAGGGGGCCAGCCAGATACCGTGGGCTCCTGCTGCCCCTTGGAGGACAGAGCTGCCCCAGGGCTCCTGAACACTGGACTCTCGGCTGGACTGCCCAGCCCTGCACACTGCCTGCCATCTCCTGGGGATACTGCAGAGCCACACCTCACACCCTGAGGGCTGCAGATCATGGGCACCAGGGGCCACAAAGCTTGCCATGGCCTGGAACTTTGCGCTACTGACCATCCCTGAGCCCAGCTGCTGGTCCCCAGACCACTCTGCAGCCACAAGAACCTGATTGATTTCTATCAGCAGCTGGAGTCAGGAAGGGAGGTCGCCATCCTTGGAGTTAGAGGGGCTTCAGAGACATGACGACAGGGGCCAGTCAACCCTGGAAGCACTTGCTGCGCCAGCCAGCCACGGATGCGGCTCAGGGACGTGAGGGACACGTGGGCTGCTTCCATATCCATAGCTATGTGTGCACTGTTATTTTCATGACTGGAAATGATGCTGTTGAACTTGGCCTGAGCTCTGTCAGCTGGAAAAGAGGATGAATAAAAAAATCCATTCTTGGTGTCCCAGAAGCAGGGCTCACTGCCTGCGGCCTCACCCACTGTGTGCCAAGACAAAACTGATGGTGCCCACTGGTCCCTGTGCCTTTCACCTCACAGAGCCAGCACCTGGGCTCTCGATGAGCCCAGGACACAATGCTTAACGTTTGTCCCACCTGACCAAGGTCCCCTCCTCCCCTGCACACCTGGCCCTCCCTGCCTCAGTGTCCACTCTGGACAAGATGACCACTTTCTGTCCTCCTTAGCTGGCAGCCCTGGTGGTAGGGTTCTCATACATGTTAGTGCTCATTCCTACCATATTTTCCTGAAAATAAGACCTAATTGGAAAATAAGCCCTAGCATGGTTTTCAGGACTCTTGGAATGTAAGTCCTACCCCTGAAATAAGCCCCAGTTAAGATCATTTTCTAAGCCAGGCGTGGTAGCACACGCCTGTAATCCCAGTACTCGGGAGGCTGAGGCAGGAGGATCCTTGTGAGTTTGAGACCAGCCTGGGCTACAAGTGAGCTCAAGACCAGTTTATTTGTTTTGTTTTTTGGTTTTTTTCTAGTACCAGGAATCAAACTCATGATCTTGTGCTTGCCAGGCAGGCGCTGTGCTGCTGAGCTAAATTCCCAGCCCCTCAAGACCAGTTTAAACTGCATAGTGAGACCCTGTCTCAAAAAAATAAAATACACACACAAAAAAAGATCATTTTCTAGACAGAGGCATTTTAGCATGTTTGCTGAACACATGACAGATGTGTTAAATTATAAAATAATACTAATATACAATTAAATATAAATAATGTTGTTGACATTAATACTTAAATGATAATATAAGTTATACTTAAGTACTGTATCTGTAAATACCAAGCAGGTGCCTTTGGACACTTGGCATGGGAAGCTATGGGCGGGGAGCGCCGGTCTTCCAGCCAGCTCACTCCCTGCCTCGTAGATGCCCGGAAGGAGCGGCCCAGGCGCATGGGGAGCCGCGGGTGGGGAGTGCTGGTCTTCCGACTGGCTCACTCCCTGCCTCGTAGGCGCCCGGAAGGAGGGCCCCCGGCGCAGGGGGAGCCTTGCGGCGGTGAGCACTGTTGCGCACCAGCCCTCAGGCCGGCTGCCACCGCTCAATTGAGAACTACCATGACACAAAGAAACAATGACACAATTGGCCCACCATGCACTGGCTGCAGATGCCCACCCACGGACGTGTGTGAATCATTCAAACTTTGAACAACCCCTGGGAATACATGCCATACAACAGGCCACTCTTGCTCCTGCCATTGAGAACCAGAAAGGTCCAGAGTCAGCGGAGGAGCAGCTGCTGAACAAGTACTCAGAGAACATGAGAATGCAGACTAAGCCCACGGAGTCAGAGGTCTTGTGGACTGGGGTCATGAGAGTCGCTTGGAAGCTGTAAACCAGGAGGACCTTGCACAATACCTGCAGAGACTCCCTGGAAGCCATTCTTCCCTTGACAGTACAAGCTGTGGTGGAGCTCCGGAGAAGTCTGCAGCAGGATTCCCGCTGCCTGTGCTGACAGTTGGGGAGAGGACACTAACTGGTTGTGGGGTCCCAATGCGATGGGAGGTTGGAGAGAAAAATGCTACAAAAAGTGGCTTCCTCCCCAGATGGCTCACTTGATTTTTGACAACCCTTAGGCTGTAACTACTTATTAGATCCTTCTTGAGTATCTCTGTCTTCCTGAGAAACCACTTTGAAGATACCACCATGTATTACAGCAGCCATTGATATTTTCCTACTAATCTATCCATAACTCTGCAATGTTTGTGTTGTTCCTATCCTATTTCGTAAATGGATGCATGTCTATCATTATGTGCTTCCTACAGCAACCATTGAGAAAAGTTAATGATTATTCAATAGGTCACTCATGTATAGCTGTATTTATTTTCTTTAGAAGCCACTTTGAAGATACCTAAGTATAGTATAACAGCTATTGATAATCTACCTCTTTTGTCTGTAACTCACTATCATTTGTCTATTTGTTTTCCTGAGAAACTATCTTGTAGACAACAATATGTAAAACAATAACCATTGATAATTTCCTACCACTTTGTCTGTAATTTGGTAAGCCCCCCATTATGTTATCCTTCTTTTACTCTTTAAAATTAAAAAAAAAAAAAGAGGGAAACACTTGTGTAAACAGATGAATTTGAAACCTACTGTCGAGTGACCCAT